TTTATAATTTCCTTCAAAGACCACCCTGACTCTTTCTGTTGAAAATCATCAATTTTCACCATAAGCTTTTCTCTAACTTCAATTTCAAACCATTTATCAAAATTTGTTGATTCGAGAATTTTTGAATTTTTTGTATTAAAAAATTTGACATCATCGATATCCTTACCATTTTCTAAAGCAGTATAATTTGCTGCAAAAACGAAATTAACTTTCAAATTCCCCATTCTTTTGAAAATTCTTTTAATTTTAGAAATAATTATGTTTTTTGCATCACTAAAAAAACAATCTAAATTTTTATGTTTTAAATTTATTATCAAACCTGTTCTAATTCAATTATTAAAAGCATTCTCCATATCATCCCACCTGATCCAATTTTCATCTTCCTTGAGGCCTAATTTTCGTCTTCTTAGCCTTTTAAATTTCCGACTGTTTGCCTTTAGAAGTCCAATTGTTGATAAAATTTTTCTTCTTTCTGCACACGGCAATGATTTATTTTTTAAAAGTTTTGAAAGTTGTTTAATATTTTTTGCACTATTTTTTATCCAAAACTTAAGTTCTTCAGGTGTTGTTTTTTTACTTAAAGTTTTTAACGCTGTGTTCATAACTTTTAAGAATTCTTTACAATAGTCAAAATTCATTGTATATAATTTAAAATTTTTCTACTACTTAATATTTCACATATGACATATGAATTCTTTATAACAATAATAAATGGAGCATCACTCTTTTATAGTCATACATTTCCTTCCATCTCTTTTACTTAATATAGTTTCTCTTTTTAACCAATTTAAAGAAATATTTAAAACATGAAACTTTAAATAGAATCATTATTGTCAGCTGATGTGCAACAAATAGAATTCATGCGAAAATTACATCTTGAGATATAAGCATATATCAGCAGTATTTTATGTATTCCAATTATATTGTGCTGACATGTATCATGTTACACTTCAGATGACTCCTGGGTCATTTCGCAGAAGAGTTAAGGTTCATGTCTTAGATTTTTTTTATATTTTGCTTATTAATAGTATTTTGGGTCCTAAACAACTATACCAAATTTTAATTAAATATTTTTATTATTTTTCAAGATATTTGCATTGCAAATTTCTTGACATGTTCTTTTTATTTTATTATAACTCACTTATTTTTAAAAATTTATTAAATTTGTTAAGAACCTTTTTTACGTAAAAACCATTGAAGTTTAGTAAAAAAAATTAAAATTAAAAAATATCAATTTTTTTAATTATTTATTTATAAAATTATATTTATTTTTAATGTTTAAGCATGAGCCCTATCAGATTTTGTTTAAAAAAAAATCTTATTTCAAAGTTTAAGATCTCATTAAAAAACCGTGAAATTTTTAGAATGGCATCTGTCTTTGTTTTTTAGTAATAAATTGTCAAAGTTTTAATTGCACTATCGCGCGCCGGCTCACAGTTGGATTTTTTTACAATTTACTGTTCAAAAATGACTACAGCCTACAATTTTTAACCGATTTGAGTGTTTTTTGTTCTAAATTAAAGGGGACATCCTGGGAGGACGATTTTTTAAATATTAATTGTTTATAATTTTTTATTTTAAAAAAATTAATACAATTTTTTTAAAAAGGACGTTTATTTTCTTATTCCGTTACTGCACATGATCTAAATAAGTTCAAAATAATCCAATATATCCACCAGACAATTAATAAAACAAAATAATTTATTTAAATTGTTATGAACAATATTAATTAACAAAAAGTTAACTTTGATTCCTGTTCACTAAAAAATGTTTTTTTAACATTTACTTTTATATTTAGGATCATTTAATGAATATATGTCCTCCTCGTTCAAAACATAACTTATTATAAACAATATAATTAAACAAATAGATAACTTTGATTCCTCTTCACTAAAAAAGGTTTTTTTCCACATTTTCTTTTTGATTTAATTTTATTTCAAGAATACATGTCCTACTTGTTTAAAAAATAACTTATTTAAACAAGGAGAGGACATATATTCTTTAAATGAACCTAAATATAAAAGTAAATGGGAAAAAAAACATTTTTTATTGAAGAGGAATCAAAGTTAACTATTTGTTAATAATAATGTTCATAACAATTTAAATAAATTATTTTGTTTTATTAATTGTCTGGTGGATATATTGGATTATTTTGAACTTATTTAGATCATGTGCAGTAACGGAAAAAGAAAATAAACGTCCTTTTTAAAAAAATTGTATTAATTTTTTTAAAATAAAAAATTATAAACAATTAATATTTAAAAAATCGGCCTCCCAGGAAGTCCCCTTTAATTTAAAACAAAAAACACTCAAATCGGTTAAAAATTGTAGGCTGTAGTCATTTTTGAACAGTAAATTGTAAAAAAATCCAACTGTGAGCCGGCGCGCGATAGTGCAATTAAAACTTTGACAATTTATTACTAAAAAACAAAGACAGATGCCATTCTAAAAATTTCACGGTTTTTTAATGAGATCTTAAACTTTGAAATAAGATTTTTTTTAAACAAAATCTGATAGGGATCATGCTTAAACATTAAAAATAAATATAATTTTATAAATAAATAATTAAAAAAATTGATATTTTTTAATTTTCAATTTTTTTTATTAAACTTCAATGGTTTTTACGTAAAAAAGGTTTTTAACAAATTTAATAAATTTTTAAAAATAAGTGAGTTATAATAAAATGAAGAAAACATGTCAAGAAATTTGCAATGCCAATATCTTGAAAAATAATAAAAATATTTAATTAAAATTTGGTATAGTTGTTTAGGACCCAAAATACTATTAATAAGCAAAATATAAAAAAAATCTGAGACTTGAACCTTAACTCTCCTGCGAAATGACCCTCCTCTCTGAAATGTACATGACTATTTTTATCATCTATGCAATAATTACTCATAACATTAACAGGTGATGCTTCCACATTCTTATTACAATAGGCTGATAATTAATTTTCTATTAAATAATAAAACAATTTGTTTAAAACATTATAAACGCAAAAATTTATTTGAAAAAAATTTTATACTTATCGTAAAATCTTGAGATATAATGAAACTCTGTATGTTAACCTATACATCATAAATATACTTATTCATTTCTCAGTTTTGAAAAAAATTTACAAATTTTTTGAATAAGTTTTTTTTTGGATAAATTTTTAGAAGAAATTGCTCTTCTCTTTTTTCCTTTAGAAGTTTCTCGAATAGAATGGATTAGAACCATTTTTTTATTTCAAATGTCGGTAAAGGAATCTGTATCCAGAACCGGCCCTGCCTATCTACTCGGTTTCTTTGTTTCTGACGCTAATTGGGGCGGAGGAATACGCTCTCTTGAGCAATTTGTGTATACCTACAGCGCCATCGGGACGAACGTTCAATGAACTATTAAAGGTTATGGCGGATTATTTACAGCCGAAACCTAGTGTTATTTTCGAGAGATACAAATTCAAGGAGTGTAAACAAAAAGATGGTGAAGTTGTCAAGAAATTCATTGCAAATCTAAAAAGGCTATCCTTGAATTGTGACTTCGGAATTAATTTGGAGGACAGTCTTCGTGATCAGCTGGTATGGGGAATGTCGAGTGAAGCGATCCAGAAACGGCTACTTGGTGAAAAAGATCTGTCATACAACAGGTCGATTGAATTGGCAACTTCGTTGGAATCAGCGAATAGAGACGTGGCTGAGATGAAAACATCGAGAACTTCGACAGTAAACTACGTCTCGAGCGAAAACTCAAAGGTAACGGCGAATCAGCGAAAAGTAAATAAAGGTAATAATAAAAATTAATAATAATTTTAATTTAATAAAAATTTTTAAAGTTATTGAAGCACAGAAAAATAAGAGTAATGTAAATCCGATTGTTGAAATTTTTTTTATTGAGAATGTACCGACTAAATTTGAAGTGGACACAGGGTCACCGATTTCGGCAATATCAAGTGATAATTGGAAGGAATCAAAACAATTGTCGAAAATTAAACTTTTAGAAACTGACAGAAGATTTGAAACATATGCAAATGATATGCTTTTTCCGATCGGTAAGTTAGAGGTTAATGTTACGTATAGAGCGAAAAATTTTAAATTGGATCTATTTGTATTTTCTGGGAAGAAAATTCCAATTGTCGGGCGTGAATGGTTATATGCTTTTGATATGACAAAAAAAAATAAATCAATTTTAACAATAGGTTCGATTAATCAAGAAGTCAGTCAAGCGTTTGAAATTGTAAATGAATTTAAAGATGTTTTATCGGAAGAAGGCGGTAAATATATCTCTGGGAAATTTTCTCTTAAGCTAAAAGAAAATGCTAAGCTAGTTTTTTGTAAAGCTCGACCGGTGCCATATTCCACGTGCCCTGAAATCAAAAAAGAAATTAACAGATTAGTCAAAAAGAAAATTTTACAACCAGTAGAAAGTTGTGATTGGGCAACCCCGATCCCAATGAGAAATGACTCATCAAGTTGACGTCAAATTGACGTCAATTTGATGATCAAAATATCGTCAAATTGACTACTTGAATTGACGAAAACACGTCCCACATTTTGACCATTTTTTGATCATTTTTTAAATTGACGAAATTTTGACGATTTATTAATTTGAATCATTTTTAAAATTGATGAAATTTTGACGACTTATAGATTTATGACAGTTTTTAATTATTTTAAAAATTGACTGAATTTTCACGGTTTACAAATTTAATTTGATAGTAAAATTATATTAATTCTATTAATTCCAATTTATACTCAACTCGTGGTTTTTGATAAATAAAAAACGTTCCAAAATATTATATTCATTACTTTATTATTATAATATAAAAAATATAATTATTATACTTATAAAAGATAAAGTCTAAATTCAAACATGTTAATTATTGTAATTAATAATAATAGTAATTAATAATTATAGTAGTATTTACTACTTTACTTTTTGAGAAAAAAATTTAAAGAATAATGATTCTTTTGATAAACGCTATGCATTTATAATCTAATAATTAAATAAATTTAAGCTTTCTATGCAAGCCCATCTTCCTGTTTCTTGTAAGGTGCAGAGCGAAACCAGTCTTTCATTTTAGCTTCAGCATCATCAAGATTACTCCCTTTAAAACGTAATCCAATGGCACCTGTAAAAGTTCAAGTTTCTTACGTTTAAGATAACAGTTGATCTACCTTAAGAAATAGTTTCATAAATGTAATATTATTTTTGTGCTTAAAATGTGCATGCTACCCTGAAAATAAATTGTCAAAAATTACTTACTAAATACTACTTCACAGCTTTTTGAAGTTTGAAATTCAATCTTCGAGCCTGAACTTCCTTTCCAACTAATATTAGCAGCCAAACAATTATACATCATATGGGATAGAATTTTACCCGTAGCTGACTTTTCATTCTGACTTCCAGTAGATAGCATCCACAATCTATCACGCTGTTAGAATAAAAGTGAAAGTATTTAAAATTACGGACTTTATCTTGCAAACATTAAAAATTACGGACCAATTACTGACAAAAATGTAACCAGTCCGAGTCAAATAAGAAAACATTTTACTTAAAATTATTAATTTATCATAATTAAAGATGACCGAGTGTGATAAAATCATTTACAATTCAATTATTATTTACAAGAATTTTTAACTAAAATTCTTCTTTACACTGAGAAAACTGGATAGTCAAACTTAGAGGGTTAGGTTTTGAGTGTTAAGCCTGATTCTCTTGATAGTTAACTTTTCCCTCCGAGTTAGTCAAATTAATCATCGGAGTGTCTATTTATCCCTCCGAAATGGTTACGAAAAACTTAACCTCAAATATAGTTTGTTTGTCCCTCCAGATAGTTAGTTGAATACTCCAGTTTTCTCCGTGTAAAGCGATTATTTTTAATAATTTTTGAAAAAGTTCTTTGACAATTTTCAAATCCATTTACGATTTGCTTACAATATTCAATTTTACGAAATTTCAATTATTTATAAATTCTTTAATGAAATATAAAAAAACTTTAAATAATAAAAAACAATTCAATTAAACTTTTAAAAAAATTATTTTCAAAATTCAGTTATTTACAAAAATTCACGATACAGAATTTTTATTTATTTTTATTTGAATATTGCTTTTACTATTCTATTATAATCTAACATTTTAACAGTAATTCATTTTTAAATTTTAAACCAATTTTTATCACAAAATTAAACTAGAATTCAATTATTTAAAATGAAATAATTAAAATTTTATTTAGGTAATAATTGAATATTTCATAAAATTCAATTCTTATAAAGAATTGTATCAACAAATTTTTAAATAATTGAATTCTCTCTGCAAATTTTAATAGGATTTTTAAGAATAATTATATTTTTCCATCAATTAGATTAAAATTGTATTAAAAATAATTGTAACTTTGCGATAATTTGTATTATTTGTGAAAATAATTGAATCCCTGTTGACATTTGATTATTTATTAAAATAATTAATTCAATTTTATAAATAATTGAATACTTTTGGAAAATTTTATTAAAATAGTACATATTGAAAATCATTGATTTGAAGAATATTTTTGAAATTAATTAAAATTTTTCCAAAAAATTTATTAAAATTTTTGAAAATAATTTAATTTTAGATAAGAATTTTATTATATTTATAAAGATAATTTCCCTGTTGACATCAAGATTCGCGGTAAATCGCCGCCAAGTAAAAAACAAAAACCGCGATATATATTCTCGAAATATTGTCTATTTTTCGATAAAATTGAATAACTAAGTAAATTAGTTAATAGGTTAAGTAAATCTTAACCGATTTCGCTTATTCTTTTTTTGGTGGATAAAGAGTCAAAAAAGAAACAATTCTGTCAAGTTTATTTGAATATTTTTGATACTTTTATAGAATTTAAGGGGAGGTTCTCATTGCAAAGGCCAAAATAAACACAAACTTTGACAATTTTTTGCGAGGAGCGGCTATGACTTAGCGATGTAGTTCTTTTTTCTAAATAAAGATACATTCTTGAACTTTTAAAACATATATTTCATTTTAAAAAGAATGCAAAATGGCGGCCAATATGGCGCATCTGGAAAATAATGTTTTTTTAAACATGGAAAACGGTGGGCATTCTACACTGCGCAATTTTTAGTCTAAAACAAAAACTCAAAATTTTTTATAAAGATGACATCCTAAAGAATAGGTTATACCTATAAAATAGTTAAAAAGTTAACAAAATGACAAAATGGCGGATACATTTTTAAAAAAACTGCGTTTTTGCATTATTTTTCTATATTTGACCTCTTGTAAAAATCTCTATTGTTAACAATTTTACCATATTATAGGTATAACCCCAGTAGAATTTAGTTACCTTTAATTAGCCGCAAACCCGAAGTTGATTGATTAAATAGTTTAGACGCTACGATGCCCACCAGTTTGAAAAATCTTGTTTCGAGAAAAGCGTTTAAAAGCGTTTAAAGTTTGAGAAACATTTTTGTGCAATAATTAAATTCTTTCCAATTCTTTGTTCAATTTGCGTATATGATAAATATCTATAGGTATTTAGGGTCACTCTTTACGATTCTGAGGTCAGATTTGCAAAATTTTTAAAAATCGATTCGATTTGCCTGACATTTGTTATTCAGTGCTCGGGATGCCGGTGAGTTCAAGTCTCCATAAAAACGAAAATATTCTTCGGATCAAAAAATCGCTATACGCACATATTCTACATATATATAGCTTTCAAAAAATACAATAAAAAAGAAATAAATTTTTTTGATTCCCGCAATGGGAACCTCCCCTTAAGCTAGGAAAACCGAAAAAATATCGATTTTTTGAGATTTAGATAAACGTTGAGCGTAAACTCCAAAATGGGTTTCTAAAATATTCTAGAATATTATTAATTAGGTTAAAATATCGATATATGTACATTTGAAGAAATTTTAATTGACTTCGTATTTTTTGAAAAAATTTTATTTTTCTCAAAAAAATTGAATATTTTGACATTTAGATAATCGCAGAGAGCAAACTTCGAAACGGGAGTGTAAAATATTTTATAATATCATTGATTGGGTTAAAATCTCGATATATATTTCAGGAAATTTTAATACACTTCGTATTTTTTGAAAAATTTGGATTTTTCTAAAAAAAATAAAATCTTTTGATATTTAGACAAATGTAGAGACTCAACTTTTTAATGTATTCAAATTTCCTGCAATATATATCAAGATTCTACTCCAATCAATAATATTCTAGAATATTTTACAAATGTGTTAAGTAATTTAGTCTCTACGTTTGTCTAGATGTCGAAAAATCCAATTTCTTATAGAAAAATCAAAATATTTTAATAAATACGAAGTGTATTTAAATTTCTTGCAATATATATCCAGATTTTAACCCAATCAATGATATTATAGAATATTTTACACTCCCGTTTATAAGTTTGCTCTCTGCGTTTGTCTAAATGTCAAAAAATTCATTTTTTTTAGAAAAGTCTAAATATTTCAACAAATACAAAGTCTATTAAATATCCTGCAATATATATCAAGATTCTAATCCATTCAATAACAATCCCAACAAAAACATCTTTGATGCAAAAATTTCCGCCAAGTAAAAATTTTGGAAATGTCGAAATAATCAGTGAAATAAAAGTTTACGAAGTAAAATTTGTAACGAAAGTTTTTGTATTCAATTGTAACAAATGTAGAATTTAATTTAATTATTAACATAATCACTTAATCAGCTAATAAAATCCAATTATTCGTCTTAATAAAAAAATTTTATTTGAAGCAATTCTAAGATTTTGGCGTCAATAATGTTTCTAACTTATAATTAATGAAAGTATTGACGCCAAGATCTTAAAATTGCTTCAAATAGAAATTTCTTATTAAGACGAATAATTGGATTTCATTAGCTGATTATGTTAATAATTAAATTAAATTCTACATTTGTTACAATTGAATACAAAAACTTTCGTTACAAATTTTACTTCGTAAACTTTTATTTCACTAATTATTTCGACATTTCCAAAATTTTTACTTGGCGGAAATTTTTGCATCAAATTTGATTATTTATGAAAATAATTAATTCAATTTTATAAAGAATTGAATTCTTTTGGAGAATTTTATTAAAATAGTACATATTAAAAATCATTGAATTGAGGAATATTTTTGAAATTCATTAAAATTTTTCCAAGAAATTTATTACAATTTTTGAAAATAATTTAATTTTAGATAAGAATTTTAATTTTATTAAATCTAATCAACTGGATTTTATGGGGAAATTTTATAAATAAAAATATTTTTTGACTAATATTTACATTACTAATGTTTGTTAATATTAACAAACAAATGCCTATCAATTAATTATTTAAAATTTTTTAATTTAAATTTTATTAAATCTACTTACAATTGCCGCAAAATTTATAGGCTCTTGAAGAAACTTTTCCATTTTATTAAAATCGGCCATGACTCTCATTGGCATAGTGGGCATTTGTTCCGGTCTCACCATTTTGGCTATATTTGGATCGACAGCTCGCATGATGATCGCTTGATTTAAAAGTACTGCGTCTAACTGCTTGCTCACTTGTATCAGTAACGTGCTCGTTAGCTTTGCTTCTTCTTTGTCCTTTGCAGCTATAAATTTTTTGATACAAAGCATAATAAATAAATAATATATATTTATTTTTGTTATAGTACATTACAATAAAACTATTTTTTGAAACAAAAATACATGCATCGCAGAAATATCTTTTGTCTAAATTAGTGTTTAGAAAATAATTAAATTAATTATAAATTAAATATTTATTGATTCTTAGTTAATATTTTGAGAAAAATACATACCCTTTGTCGAAACTGATTTCTGAGGGTTAAGTGAATTTTTAGATATTTGATTTGAAGGGCCATCTACTGCACTTATATCGTTTTTACTGCCTAAATTCACAATATTGCCACAATATTCAGATAGAGACAAGTTAGAATAATCATTATTTATCCCACTGGTTGATGCAGTTGGAGTAACTTTAAATGGTGATGTCGAAGAAGCACTTGGTTCAACCACATCATCTGTTTCCATGATATTAGGTGGATTTTTATCAAGAACAGAATCAACTCTGACATATTTTTCCAATTTTCCAGAAATGGGATGCTTTTTATTTGTTTTGTTCTCAATATTCATATTAATCGTTTTTGACGTTTTATTACCATTATTATTATTAAGATCTGAAGGTAAATTTTGAGTTGCACTTTTTGAATTTTTGGAATTGGATAGAGCACGAGCTTTAGCACTAGAAATATCAATTTTCTTTATATTTTTTGAAGGATTCGCTTTTTCTTTCCCTTTATTAGAATTTGATGTTAACATCTTCGTCGGTCCAGATGTTTTTTTTAAAGCAGTATTCGTCTTTGGCGATTTGTTGTTATTTTGACAAACTTCCAGTGTTGAACGATTTAAAGATAAAAGAGTTCCTTTTAAATGGTCGCTTACTTTTGGCGGCTGTAATACAACATCATCAGAATCGGAGTTAGACTGAATCTTCTTAATTTTTTTGATTTTTGGTTTTAATTTACGTGTTGGAGAACAAATATTATCATCTGCACATGTATCATTTTCGCTGTCAAGATCAGAAGAAACATATCTAAGAGGCTTACGTCTCTTACGAGACTTTACTTCTTTTTCTGTGTCGATATTTGAATCATATTCAGCTTTTTTACATCCTTGTATTGCATCTTCATAAGTTTCTGTAAAAAGGAAAAAATGTGTAACTTAATAAAAATCTGTTAACTTTTAGTTTTTTTAAAAGTATTTTGCGCAATTTTGTAGTCCTTGAAGTACATTTTAAGTATAATATCTTTTGAATCCACTCAATTTTCAATGATAATTATCTATTTGATTTTAAAAAATTTGTATAGTTTCCTTCTAGAGTAATTTGTGAGAATAAGTTTGCTCTTTAAGTAAAAGTTGTAATAGTAGTCGAAAAAAATTGTTTCCTCAAGCATAACAAATTATAAATCAGAAGAGTTTGAAACAATCATGTTATATGCAAAAGAAAAATGATACTTACGAAATAAGTGGAGTACTTTTACATTGAAAACGGGCCATGTTATATCAGGATCATTAAGACCTTGAACAGCTTTTTTTAATTGTATGTATCGAGATCCCTTTAAAGGCCAACCTTTTTCTGGCGGCCAGAAAGCTTCAGTCTCAAGCACATCAGGTTGATCTAGCCACTTTGTAGGAATTACTTCTACAGTTCCCTCATTAAGGAAATGAACAACTGCATACTGTAAAAAATAGATTTGAGGAAAAATTTTAATTTATAAATTATAAAATATAGAAGGCATGAAAAGTTAAATTTGTTTTTATTATTATTATTATTTGTTGTTACCTCTGTAAAAATTATGTAGCTGTATGTAGAAGGGGAACACATAAAAAAGAATTTTCAGTTTCAGGCATTAAAATACACTTTTGAGATAATTCGTTAATAGACCAATATTCATTGTTTTCCGACAAATGAGATACTAAATGTATGCCAAGAATAGAAGATTCTATGGGATAATTATAATAATTCTGAAGAGTCTGAAATCTTTTACCCCGTAACAAAATAGTTTCCTCAGTTTGAACTATATTTTGAAGCACAACTACGGCTCCATTAACTGTTTGAAAACAACTATTTGCTTGATCGAGAGACAATGATAAGTCTTTCATATCTAGTCTCCGAAATTGTTCTCCGAGAATTTCTTCATCAGGATCATGATGGCGTAACTTTAAAGTTATTTCATTTGGAATCAATTCTACTTCATCCAACTTTCCTTCGTTTTCGGTGTCTCGACGTGCTAGCTGTTGCAAAGGTTGATAACTTGATCTTAAAGTCTGTTTGATAGTTTTAAGATAGTTTTCAAACGGAAAACAACTGAAACCATACAGACTGTTTTGTGTTAGCCTACATTCCTCAGCCATGTGCATGTAGCTGTGAACATTATAAACAACAAATTCTCGACCATATAGTTGTGTAGAATACTGAATAAACAACTTGGAGAATTCTTCTGCAGCATCTAACATTACTGGCTGCTTAACAAATACAAGATTTTCCATAATGTAAGCAGAACAGTGCAGTAGGAGAAAATTTTTGTATTCATCAGTTGGTAGTACTCCTTTCCAAGCTTTAATACCATCATACAAAAGCAGTCTTCTCAGTTCAGTAGCTTTTAAATCCTTCACTTTTTCAAAATATTTGGGCTTTCGGTTAAATTCCCTTGGAAAAGAATCAGATAAATTTTGCAGAGCATTTTTGAAATCATGAATTTTGTCATCTTCAAGTCTATTTAAATTTCTTATTTCTAACTTTTTGAACAGATGTCTTCTGACTATTCCAAGGTACAGAAGATGTTGAGGATCAAGTCTAAATTTTGAGACCATTCCAATGTTCAAAATATTTTCAAGCGGTGAAAGGCCAGTATGATGTTCGGGATTTTCTCGATTTCTAAACGACTGATCGCTTCGATTGTCAGCATTAGTTGACACATACGTCATGCGGTGTAAGTACCATTTTCCACGCACTATACATTTCTCACACGGGAAAGTACCGTTGTGACCTATAGTACATTTTAAGTATGATCTAGCGGGAGCATCACAAAGAAAATTTCTTATACTAAAATTATATGTTTCTCCCTCAAAATGATAGCCATGTTCTCTTAAGTGTAGTACTTCTTCAGCAAAATCTGCAAGATACTGATCTAACGTTTGCGGTTTCGAAGAATGACCGTAATAAACACCAATAATAAAAGGACTATTAAACTGGCCCTCCAAAGTCCCTAAAATTGGCCAAAAGTTCGTTTTAGAATTCCTGTATAATGGCAAACCATCCATATTTACATCGATAACAACATTTCCATATTCTTCGAGATACTGTTGAGTGATTCTTTGATTTAAAGCTTTTACTATTCCCTTATACCATAATTGACCATTGTCTATTTCTTTTACGTTAGTAGTTTTTGGAGTTCTCAGAAGAGTTTTATAACTACAGGGAAGTGTAGGATGAATACGTCTCAAAATTTTAAGTAATTGGTCAACTTTTCTTTTTGAAATGCCACGCATTGCCCAACCTCTCAAAGAGTGATATAAATACATATTCGGGTCAAAATCTTCATCGTCATCACTTGTTTCACCATCAGAGTCACTTTGATTGTCATCACTATCTTCATTATTACTATCAGTATCATTGTCAACCCCAAAATTATTATAATTGTCACCAGGATCATTATCTTGGTCAATCCTTAATACATCTTCCAAATGATAGTTTTCAGGAGGTAAATTTACATTATTATTGGGCACTTCTTGATCAAGAATATTATCATTAAGTTCGACATGATCAGATGAATCAGAGGAATCATGTTCATAAACATCTTCGTTTCTCATCAATCGAAGTCTTATTTTGCGTTCATTAATTGCTTCACGGATCCTTATTCTTTCCGGTCGATTCTAAGAAATATTTGAAAATGGTTTATATATATATTTTTATTTTTCTGTTGAAATACTGTCGAATTTGTTTTTAGTGTTTTATTTAATTTATTTATTCAAAATATAATTTATTTAAGGCCTATTTGATTATTTAATACATAACGCCGAAGGTTTTAATTTTCATATACTTGAAACAAAAAAAGACAATTCTTTTGTGAAATCTACTGTGATTTATCTCATAACATATTGTGTGAGTGTAGGTAAAGTAAATCCGTAATCTTTAAAATATCTATTTTAAAGTATATTTTAATTGTTCAAATCTTATTTGTCCATTTATTCTTCGATCTTCGAAAATATGTATTTTAGATTAGAAAAGCATTGTAAAATCTAGAACTGTATTATTTATTTCTAATCTAAGTAAAATAATTATTTGAGAATTATGTCTACCTAACCTTAAAACCTTCGGTACAATTAAAAATTTCTTCAACTCATTCAATAAATTTTACAGTAATAAAATATTACTTATTACAGACTCTGATCTGATTCTATTAATTAACAATTAAGTTTTTAAAAGTAGCGAATTTAAAATCGCTTTTGTAAAATTAATACTTTTCTGTATTAATTTTACTAATTTGCGGCAAATTATCAAAGCCAAATTCGAAAACTTGCCTGGAAAAATTTACAGCAAATACCAAAATGTCCGTTTGCAGAAAATTTGCATGGCAAAGTAGATGTTAATTGCATGCTCAGTAGTTTTCTATGATATCTAGAGCTGCGCACTACATGTATGTCACCTTCCCTATAGAGGAAGGCAACGTTTATCAAAATACATACATTTTGAAAACAAAAAGAATTTTTTTTTGAAATTTTTAGGTTTTTTGAAAGATTGCTGCAAATTTTCCTCAAGTTCACTAAAAAATTATCTGTAAGTTTGCCACGCAAGTTATCTACAAATTTGCTCCGCAAACTTGCCACCAAACGGACATTTTGGTATTTGTCGCAAGTTTGCTGCAAATTTTCCAGGTAAGTTTTCGAATTTGGCTTTGATAACTTGCAGGAAATTATTGTGCTACGTGGGTTACTTTGTCAATTTTACAATTTTCCATAAAATTTGCTACTTTGAAAGTTGATAATATTTTTGTCTCTTTATTACCTACTTTCAGAAAGGTAAATTTACTGAAAATTGTAAAATTGACACATTAAAAGTATTAATTTTTAAAAGAGATTTTAAATTTGCTACTTTTAAAGACGATAGTTTAAAAGTTTCTATAAAAATCAGTAAAAGACTGTAAACGAACAGAGATTTTTTTTACAGTGCCCAATAATAGTTACAAGTACTTATGTACACAAAAGATTGTTTAAAAAAAGGTAACTTAACTAAGACATTATATCGTTCATAAAATTGTTAAAAATCAGTAAATTGTATTGCACCGTATAAAGATATAAATATAAAAAGATAATTAAAATGAATTATTGGTTTCCTTAAATTTTACAGCAAAACACTGATTTTGTCGTCTGAATATTATCACTAATTAGTGATTATATATTATATAAACGTTAATAATATTTTATCACTATTAATTGTCATTCGCATGTTTCAAACGATATACTAAAGCAACGCAAGTATGCAAAGCGTCAAAAATTTCCTTTTTTAGGTTAACATATAAAATACATTATAGACAGATATATAAATAGCATCATTTTAATATGACTACAATATTGAAATATCACATATACTTACTTCCCGTTGATCCATCTTATTCACTGCAATTAACTCCTACATATAGATAATTATCGACGATTAATAATACGACATAATATAACACCTTGTTTTCGTTATGCGAAGTCGACTCGTCATCGACTCGTGAACGTGGATAGAATTGGCGGATGTCGCGGATACGAACTGGGTTACGGCGCATGCGTCAGATAGAAGACACACGTAACCGCACGTTTTCAAATCAAATGCAATTGTTATAAAAATTCTTTCACAGGAAATTATTAATAATAATAAAACTAAAATATCAATTTAATAAATAATTATAATATATTTTAGTTATTTATTATGAAAGATAATTTTATTAATTTATTTTCTTTAAAGAAAATATATGAGAAGATTTCTCACACGCAACAATAACATTAAGCTTAGTTTTCACGCATAGCGCAGTGAAGACTGATGGAACTGTGAATCTGTCTTTCTCAGGCCGCAGTCCCATGGCAGCGTTTTGCGTTGCGTTTTGTAACTAGGACATGAGTGTGAGAGAGATACAGATATAGGTTTGCTCTATTTGCACTCATTGCCTAGTTACAAAACGCAACGCAAAACGCTACCATGGGACTCCAGCCTCAGGGTGCGATCTCTTGTGAGCAGAAAACGTTACTCCGGGGTGCGACCATCTGTACTAAAAACATAAAGGCCTTTCTCCAATAGGATCCCAAAACTCTGTGTTCGTCTGCGAATGACTGCGTTGCGTTGATTTTAGCATATGTTGCCATAGCAACCGACGCAACGCAGAGTTTTGGGAACCTATTGGAGAAAGGCCTTAAGGGTACAGCCACACGAACTTAAGTCTAACGCACAATAGGTTCGCGAAAGTCGTTCGCGAACGAGACGCATGAGATAGACAAGGACACAAATATATCTCTGTCCTTTTCTAACTCATGCTTTGCGTTCGCGAACGACTTTCGCGAACCTATTGTGCTTAGGCCTTTATGTATGCATGATGCATGCATGCATATATAAATACATTTGCATACATACAAATGCATGCATGCATTTGACCTCAATTTTTCGCTTTCGAAAAATCATTTTTCTGGCGGGATATTTAAAATTGATTAAAATTTAAAAATAATGTATTACTAATTATTACAATAAAAAATGAAAAAAAATTTAACGTTTATTATAAGGAATTAATTGTAAATAAATTTGTCTTAATTTTTGGCATATTTTAAATAATAATAAAAATTCACAATATTAAAATATGCCACAAATTAAGAGAAATTTATTTACAATTAATTCCTTATAATAAACGTTCAATTTTTTTCATTTTTTATTGTAACAATTAGTAATACGTTATTTTTAAATTTTAATCAATTTTAAATTTTCTCAAAAATTTGAAATTATTCTAATTTTTAGGTTTGGAATTTCCACTTTACCTACATTTTATTAATTTGAATTCTAATTCATTAGAATATTTAATTTTCCGAATTATGATTTGGCGCAGAATGTCAATTAGATCGATTTTATATTTGCAAGAAATTTAATTTGACCGAATATCAATTTGTAAGAAATACTATTTTGTAGAATTCTAATTTATCAGAATTGTAATTTTATTTTTAACCCAAGTAAACCCTCCAAATGATAAAAAATTTGGGGGAACAGCAGTTCTTATTTTTTTCACGGATTTTTCGAAAATCCGAGAATTTCAAGTAAATTAATAATTCCTCGCGTCGGTAGCAATTTTTTTCTTTTGATAATTACTTACATATTTAAATGTCACGGGCCATTTACAAAAGTCCAAGTGAATCTAAATAGGGGAAAGCAGTCATTTTTATTTCTTTACGTCACGAATTTTCCAAAAATTTCGAAATTTCAGCTTAATGATTGATTCCTCGACTCGGTAGAAATTTTTTTCTTTAAATAATTATTTATTTTAATATTAGACGCTATTATTAAAAAAGATTTCAAGAAGATTCAATAGGCGGGAAAAACAGTGATTTTGAATTATTTCCAGAAATCACGTAATTTCCTCGTCTCGGAAGCAATTTTTTTCTACTGATAATTATTTATTTTAATGTCACAAGCCATTTAAAAAAAATTCCAAGTGGTTCGAAGTCGGGGAAATTAATCATTTTGATTTTTTAAATGAAATTCTCGGATTTTCGGAAAATCCGTGACAAAAAAATTAAAAATCATTGCTTTCCCCGCCTTTGAATCACTTGGAGTATTTTTAAATCACCTGTGGCATTTAAAAAAAATTACCGAGTTTTGAAATTTCAAAATTTTTTGAATAGTCGTAACACAAACAAAATTCAAAATCTTTGCTTTCCCCGACTTGGAACCGTTTGCAATTTTTTAATGGGCTTCTGACATTAAAATAAGTAATTATCAAAAGAAAAATTTGCTACCGGGGCGAGGAATTATTAATTTACTTGAAATCCGTGAAAAAAATAAGAACTACTGTTTCCCCACTTTTGTTTATTTTTGCGTTTGGAGGGTTTATACTTGGATTAAAAATATACAAAAAAATTATCCTAAACTTTTTGGAAAATTTTTTTTTAATTATTTCGTTAAATGAATGTTAGTCTGAATTGGAAAATTAAATTTTTTCATAAAACACCTATACAGTGGTACTTATTTTATAGTTTAACCAGAATATTAATTTTTTTATTTCCTTATTCCTGAAATACACATCTTGATATCAATGTCAATTTGACGTCATTTTGACTTCATTTTGCTTTTTGTATGATTTTTAACATAGTTCTCAAAAATTTATAAATATTTAGCAAATACTAGCACTAAACAGTAATATTAGTTAGCATATATATAATTTTTACTAAAATTTTTAATCATCAAAACTTCGTCAAAATTTGATCATTGACTATAATAATAAAGATTGACGTCAAATTGACGTCATTTTGATTGACGATTTCTCACTGGGATAGTGCCAGTTTTAAAGGCAAATGGTAAAGTTCGCATATGTGCCCTATATTAAAGAACCAGTTGAGACTAGTAGAAATTGAACATGGATCTACTGGTGTCAACTTGCTTTCCAAATTGAAAAACTTTTCCGTGTAGAAATTCTACTGGTTTTAACTTGGAAATCCTATTTATGTAACTGAAACGGATATCCAAGATAAAATTGAAATGGTTCTATCTTGGATTGTCCTCTTCAATTTTTGTTTCGACTTGTTTCAACATGGATTTCCAATCTTATCATTTCTACTTGTATTTCCAAGTTCGCACGTACTACAAGTATCAGCTTGCATTTCCAAATACAAAAATTAAGTTCAAGTATCTACTTGGTTCAATTTGGATTCTCGAATACTTCATTTCACTTGTCCTGTCAAATTAAAAATCAACAAGCTTGAGTTTGGAATTTCCAACTCTAAATTTATATGTTACAGTGAAGGATTAATGTCATCTTGGTTTAATTTGAATCGGGGATGCATTCTATTTGGAATTTCAAGTTCAAATTTAAAGAGTTTGATTAATCGCTAATTGGAATTCATAAAATTGTCATTTTCGCCAATTGTTATTTTATAAATTGTTATTTTTGCAAAGAATTATTATTACAAATTTACATTTTTACAAATATTTATTTTAGTTAACTGTTATTTTGCAAATTTTATTTTTGCAAAATTGCATTCTTCGCAATTGACAGTTTTACAAATTGGTAGATACTTTTGATAATTGTTATTTTTTGCGAAACTGCTTTGTTGTGAATCATTATTTCTGCTAATTGTTGTTTTGCAAATTTTATTTTTGCGAATTTGCATTTCTCGAATTGATATTTTTATGAATTTGTTACTATTGCTATTTGTAATTTTGTGAATTTGGTAATTTTATAAAAATCTGTAGTTCACAATCAATGGAATTTTTTTAACACTGTTGAGTCATTTTGCGAATTTTAATTTTTACGAATTTTCTGTTTTTTATTTCGCTTAATGTTATTTTTTGCAAATTTTTGCAAAAAATTACAACGCGGTCAAATGACATTTGAGCAGAAACTTATTAAATATTTAATTAATATTTTTAACATAATAGCATATATTGCAAATCTATATAAATATTTTAAATTCTGCTTGTATTTTTATAGGTACTTACAAAAATTATAATATTTTACATAAACTTGCGTTTTTTAAAGTTGCAGCTTATATAGACAGGTCGAAAAATATTTCTCACGTCGATTTGATAGCCGTGGTCGTTAAGCGTTTAGATAGATAGGTCATAGGTGCGGGGTTCGATTCCCATAGGGTACAAGTTTTAATTTAATTATTCCAGTTTAATGAAAATGTTTGTATGTTTGGAGTGTGCTAAGAATATGAAGTTATTGATGGTCATAAGAATGTTTTATTATTTTTTCCACAAATTTTTTTTTTCAAAACTATCTGTTCAATTGTAACCACCTTGGATTTCCAATTATGAATCGATATCCAAGTTGAAACAAGATCATATTGTACAATGTAATCTACTTGGAATTTCCGGTTGACTGTAATGTTCAAACTGAAACCAGTTCATTTTGAACTTGACATTCCGAATTCAAACCAGCTGAAAATACATATCTACTGGTTTGAAATTGGAACTTACGTGACAATAACCAACTCAAAGCAAGTAGGCTCCTGATTCTACCCGGTTCTACTGGTTCTTTAATATAGGGTGGCGATGAAAAGTTAACAGTAAATCCCAATATTATAATAAATAGACACCCAATTCTACGAGTTAGAGATTTAATTACAAAACTTAAAAAGGGGTGTATTTTTTCTAAATTAGATATGTCTTGGGCTTATTTACAGGTGAAACTCGATGACGCATTAAAAGAAATGACAACTATCACCACAGATAAACGGCTTTTTAGACCCAACCGAATGTTTTTTGGGGTAGCTTCTGCGCAGGGTTTATTCCAAAGCGAAATGGAAAAAGTTTTGGACGGTATAGAAGGGGTAGTTGTATTTTTCGACGACATTTGTATCTCAGGGACAACAATTAAAGAACATGATTTGAATTTAAGGGAAGTTTCAACTCGATTAAAAAAATGTGGGTTGAAAATTAATCCAAAAAAGTGCTTTTTTGCTAAACAAGAGGTTAATTTCCTGGGATACAAAATAGATAAAAACGGAATTTATGCGGACAGAAAGAAAATTGATGCGATTAGTCGAATGAATCCACCGACAACTGTGAGTGAGCTCAGACAAAGTGTTAATGCACTACGATACCGAACTTCCGGTTAAAGTTACTTGCGACGCGTCACCAAGGGGTATTGGAGCTATATAATCACACGTTTTACCAGACTGGACAGTTAAACCCGTAGCTTTTTCATCAAGAACCCTAACAAACGCGGAAAAACATTACTCACAGCTAGACAAAGAAGCGCTCGCGTTTGAAAAAGGCGTTAAGTCGTTTCATCAATATGTATATGGTCGAAATTTTTTCCTCGAGACAGATCACAAACCGCTCATGTATATTTTTGGAAATAAAAAGGGAATACCGCAAATGGCGGCTAGTCGAGTACAGAGATGGGCAGTTTACTTATCTGGTATAACTTTGAAATTAAGCACATTCCGGAAAAAGAAAATGGACCAGCGGACGGTCTATCGCGAATGTCAATTTCTGAATTGCGAAAATCAATTGAGTCGAACGACGTGACTGACAGTGACTACACATACTTAAATCTCTTTACTGAGGACATTGATTTGGTAAATAGCGACAAAATTAATAACGAAACAGAGAAAGATGAAATTCTACAAGTTTGCGAATTCGTTCTTAACGGTTGGCCAAATCAAGTAAATGAATGTGTCAAACATTATAAAAATAGCGAACTAGAATTGACACTCGAAAACGGATGCATCATGTGGGGACACCGTGTTGCAATTCCAAAAAGTCTAAGATCACAATTGTTAGACGAATTACATGGGGCTCACATTGGAATCGCAAAAATGAAAGCGCTAGCAAGGTCATATATGTGGTGGCCAAAAATGGATAGTGAAATTGAGGATATTACAAAATCGTGTAAATTGTGTCTTGAAGGGGAAGGAAATCCTCCAAAAGCGTCTTTAAATGTATAGAAATGGCCGAAAGGTCCTAGCTATAAGTTGCATGCGGATTTTTGCGGACCGTTAAATAGGTTTATGTACTTTGTAATAGTCGACGCATAATCGAAATGGCTTGATGTGAGAGAAATGACTAATATCACGACAGAGAAAACTATTACCGAGTTAAAAGAATATTTCAGTGTTTGGGGTCTACCTCACAAATTGGTCACAGATAACACAGGCACACAAAAAAATTAAAAAGTCAAAACCCAGAGGTCACACCCCCCTATCCCCATGTTTTTGGAGTCGTTGAAACCGAATATGACCATGACAAATTTTTTTCATCGGCCATTTTCCCGCTACCACCCCCTTACACCTGCTCCCGGGGGTTGGAATTTTAGTTTAAAAAAAGTGGAGTAGGGTGTCTATTCCTATGTTTTTTGGGTCGCTAAAACCAAAAAACACAACCAAAAACAAATTCTTCCCTCCCTTAACCCCCTACAACCCCCTTAACAACCCCAGGGTGAGGGGTCGAAATTCGAATTTTCACGAAAAGTCGATTACGGTGTCTAAACCTACGTTTTTTGGGTCGCTGAAAACCAAAAAAGACTACCAAAATCAAATCCTTTCCACCCCCGACCCCCTATAACCCCCTGCAATAATTTTTGATGATTAATATTTAATTTTCAATTTCCCAAAAATCGGTTCGTTTTATTTGAAAAACATTATTGCAGGGGGTTATAGGGGGTCGGGGGTGGAAAGGATTTGATTTTGGTAGTCTTTTTTGGTTTTCAGCGACCCAAAAAACGTAGGTTTAGACACCGTAATCGACTTTTCGTGAAAATTCGAATTTCGACTCCTCACCCCGGGGTTGTTAAGGGGGTTGTAGGGGGTTAAGGGAGGGAAGAATTTGTTTTTGGTAGTCTTTTTTGGTTTTAGCGACCCAAAAAACATAGGAATAGACACCCTACTCCACTTTTTTTTAAACTGAAATTCCAACCCCCGGGAGCAGGTGCAAGGGGGTGGAAGCGGGAAAATGGCCGATAAAAAAATTTTTCATGGTCATATTCGGTGTCAGCGACCCCAAAAACATGGGGATAGGGGGGTGTAACCTCTGGGTTTTGACTTTTTTATTTTTTTGTGTGCCTGTGTAATGGTCCGACTTTTACATCAGAGCTATTTGGTAGTTTCCTTAAAAATAATAATGTGTTGCACATCAAAACTGCTCCCTATCATCCAGCGTCAAATGGAGCTGCGGAAAATAGCGTAGGCACTTTCAAAGCAAAATGTAAATTGTTATTAAAACAAGGTTTATCACGTCACGATGCGTTATGTAAATTTTTATTTTACTATCGAGCAACTCCACATTGCAAAACAAATGTACTATTTCCGAGGTAACAGGAAAGTTACGTTTAATCAAGGAGACGTTGTACTGATTAAAGATTTTTGAAATAAAAATTGGCGTCAAGCGGAAGTTGTTGATTAACTTGGTCCTGTTACTTTTAACTGTAAAACCGACGGAAAAATTGTAAAGTGTCATTCAGATCAAATTGAACCATGTAAAGTTAAGTTGTTAGACAAAATTTACAAGAGATCTAAAACACTGGTTTTGATTGAAACTCCGATAGAAAATGGCGAATACAATAATAGTGGACGACAAAATAAAAAATTAATTGGATTGTCTTGAAAGTTACTTCCCTCGATGTAGGACATGGCCGACCATAACAGGTTGCACCGTTTTCGTGTTGAAAGTGTTTACGCTATGGTAATGTAGGGACGTAGATGATCAACAAAAATAATAAGTCATTATTTTTATTATTTAATATTATATAAATAATTATATTTATTTGTTTATTTATCTATTATTATTTATTATTATTCTTATTATTTAGAAATATTATAATGGAAAAGTATTAAAAAAAGTAATGTAAATTTTTTATGAAAATATTATTAAACATAATTTTTGTCGTAAAACTGGATCTTTTTTATGAAAAAAGTCCTTTTTCCGAAACACGGAGGTACTCAGAATTATTTCCAATTACGAAAACTACTTTTATCTTGAGAAAATGACGTTGATGTTTTCAAATTTTTTCTAACAATTTTTGAAGTCGATCATTAAATTTTTGTCTTTTTTCAATACATTGCTGCTTTTTTTTATTAAAAAGGGCATTTTTTGAAATTTATTTTTCTAAATAATTTCATATCATAATTTTTATTAATGAAAAATGGAAAATACAGAAAAATTAAGATCAAATTTTGATCAGAAATAAAATAAATCAAATAATTTTCCATATAGAAAAATTGAATAACAATGTTATTTTTAGAATTTTCAGTTTAAAAACAAAGATTTTTTTCAAAACAATACTTCTATAGGTAATTATGAAAATCATCGATTTCATTTAGAATTTTTTTCATGGATTTAAAAACATATTTTCTACCAAATTACGCGTGTGTTTCGAAATCCACCAATTTTTAAGAAAAATGAAAATTGAAAAAGGGTCAAAATATTTTCTGTCCGATTTTCTTTTATTTTATGACCGCCTTGAATTCCTTACAATAAATTACTTTAAAACTAATTTTGTGGAATATTTAAATTATATTTTTCATATACTTAAAAATATCAATAATAAAAATAAATAATTTTCAAAATTATGCATTGCATAATTTTTTATTATTTTTTTTTTTGTTAACTAAATTTATGTTTAATAATATTTTCATAAAAAATTTTTCTTTATTGTTTTAATACTTTTCCATAATAATATTTTTAAAAAGTAAGTATAATAATAAATAATAATAGATTTAATAACAATATTAAATAAATAAACAAATAATAAATATAATAGTAAACAATGAGAGTAATTGACATTTAATATTTTTGTTCCTCACGTTCATTCCTACTGTACTACGCAAACGGTGCAACCTGATATAGTCGGCCATGACTAACCTCCCATATTGAGCTGTCAGTTTGCTATGTTTTGTAAAACGCGGATTAATATTCACGCCTATAGAAACATCTAATCGTCATAAGAAAACTTGTTTTATATTCTCTATTAAATATTATTTTTCCTTAAATCGCCCTTTTTTCATTTTCAATATGGATTTTTTTAAATTAATTATCAAAGTCAAAAAATTGCACAAAGAGAGGTAAAAAGAGGGGAAGTTGAGGAGAAATCGCTCGCTACGCCTATGCGTACTTTTAAATATTTCCCACCGTGCAGCGTCCTTAAGCCTTCTTTCTTCTCTTTTCAACCTCTTTTGAACCTCTAATAGTGCGGAAAAATCCATTTCAGCAGTTTTCAGGTTCAAAAGAGGATTTAGAAGTGTTAAAGAGGCTTAAAAGAGGTTAAAAAGAGGTTTTTGGAGAACTAAAAGAGGGTCTAAGTTTTGACTCGGGCTTATATTTTAATATTCTTCTGTAATATATACATTAAATGTAATGTATATTATACATAATATACTATTGTTGCAATTGCAATATCCCACTTTCAAGTTACAGAGCATATTTTCATACTTCCTTCGTATGTATGTATATTCTAACTTTCCATTCATGAGCCTCCGTGGCGCAGTTGGTAGAGCATCCGCTCCTAGCAGCGTCTTGCGTTCGAGACCTCATGATGGTAAATATTAAGGTAAATAGCAAAGCAAATTTTCTTCGACAGGTATTAACATTCCAAGCATACATGACATGAGAATAGCATGAAATTCTTTTTTTTAATTTATAAATTTTTTTTTATAAAAATAAAAGTAACATCGGCGTGTCACTGAAAATATGTATTAACCTGTACTACCGCAACACTAACATTCTGCATTGACGCGAGTACTGCGTTAGCACCGATTGTCAGTACAGAACATTATCTACATGCCTACGTTATATCTGTATTGTACCAGTACTGATTACTGAAATTCAGTGTAGCCCCGATACTGCCAACGCTGGTATAGTACTACACGGAGAGAAGAAAGTAGTCAATCTTACTCAGCCCTGAGTCATAGTTACTAAACAATATGGGAAACGAGAAGAAAATCAAGTAATATTTTACAAAAATACACTGACGGTGATATAAGGTAACAATAATAAATCAATTTAAAAATTATAATTTCTGTAATTGTTTAGTTAAATAGAGAAAATTATAAGAGCTATATTTCTTTTCAAAATATATTTGTCGCATATTTGAATAAACAGCTAAACTTTTTTTATAATT